CCCGGGCTGTGGGATTGCATATGGCGGCCCCCATGGACTAAGATAGGGAGAGACCAGTGCAGTGGACCTCAGCCTCCAGGACTGGGCCACCGAGCTCTGCTGTGTCAGCTACCCGGGCTGTGGGTCTGTACTCTTGGAGCCCAAATATAGCCACTGTCCCAGAAAGCAGCCTGGAGTTGAAACCAATACACTGGCAAAGTTAGCCAGAGGGTGCCAACAAGAAAAGGCCCAGAAGGTCTGAAAATCTCTGAGCTTAAGGGGCAGCAGGTGTCTCCAAATTTCTCAAAGAGCTGCACACATACGAGAAAGAAATTTGTTATAAAAATATTTTAATCTGGACTTGGTCATGCACGCCTGTCATCCCAGCATGCTGGGAAGCTGAGGCAGGAGGATTGCAAATCGCAGCCCGGCCTGAACAGGCCAGATTCTGCCTCAAAATAAATAAGTAATAAATAAATAATTAACAAAGTGCTGGGATCATAGCTCAGTTTGATGCCAGTGAGTTCAACTGTGAGGAGTACAAAAATAGGAGGAAGAAAGAGAAAGGAAAGGAGGAGGGGTGGAGGAGGAAAATAATAAAAGAGAAAGCAGGAGATGAGGCACATTTATCCCCCAGTTGCTCGTGGATGAACACTTGATGCTACTAGTTCATCCACGTCGGGTGTGCTACCCACCCATTAGTCACAGGCTAATTAATTGGTTATCAGATTGACTCCATGATATCAGAGGATTCATGTCCAAGGATCCCTGACTGGTGATAATCATAGCCTAAAACCTGAGTCACAATGCTGACAATTCAGATACTCTAAAGAGAAGCCACAATGCGTGTCCTTGAAGTGAAAAAGTGAATGTTCTGAATTTCTTTTCTTTTAATTTCTTAATAAGGAAAAAAATTACACTGAGGTTGTTACTATCAGAATTACCCACAGCGGAGTATTACATAGCCAGGAACAAGGATGAACTTCTGGCATGTGTAGGACAGTGGATGCACCTTGAGAGCATACCATGAAGTGAAATCCATCTGACACACAAGCTTCAGTACCACATGAGGAACAAGAAATATAAGTAAAGAGCAAATTAAAATATAGGTAACCAGATAGAGAAACATAGATTTCTGGCAAAAGGGAAGGAGATCAATATGGAGGGAGAAGAAGAAAGGGCTGGGAAGGAAGCAGGATGTGTCCTGTCCCGGCACCCTCTCCTCACGAGAAATGCAATCCTTACCTGCTGCAAAGGACGACTGACATAAATAAAAGTTTAAAAATGAAAACCGGGAAAGAAAGAAAATGAAAAAACAGAAATGGAGGGGAAAAAAAAGAAAATTGAAAAAAAGGAAAACTGAACCAAGAGTGAGAAGTCATATTTGTGCAGCATTTATTCTTGAAAAACAGGGATAAATCGTATCTACATACCATTGAGTACAGTGTATCATTAGCACTGTTCTATTCTATTATTGGTTATTGTCACTAATCTCTTACTGATGTGTAAGCTAAAGTCAGTCGCAGGTGCACCCGTAGAGGAGCCATGCTTTCTATAAAGGATTTCGCTATATTCATGGGACTTATTTCCAGTGGATAAGAGAGAAACGCCAACATTTCAGTGGATGGGTGTGTGGAAATACAGCTGGGAAAACCACGACCTTGTTGTCATCAAAGTGGCTCATGCATGAAGAGATAAAAGATGGCTTGCTCCAGCCCTTTGGGAGGTCTGCAATGTCTGGTATGTTCATTGCTTTCACGGATGTCTCAGTTACTTTTCTATTGTGCAGGAAAAAATACCACAAATAGCCAACAGTTTAAAGGAAAACAGGTTCATTAGGCTGATGGTTGCAGAGGGTGCAGTCCATGGTTAGCTGCTCCAAGGCAGGAGCATCATGGCGGATACGCAGGAGGAGGAAAGACGCTCACATCATGGTCGCCGGGAAGCAGAGAGAGAAGGGAGGAGCCGGGGACAAGAACTCACCTTCCAGGTCACACCCAGTGACCGCCTCCACCAGGCCCTGCCTCCTACAGCACATTCAGCCGGGAGCTCATCCATGATGGATCCACTGAGGAGCAGATTTCCCAGTTCCCAGAAGAATCTGCAGTAAATAAAGAAGCAATTATAGTGTGCTCCACCCCTTCTACTGTACCACATCTTCAATAAATATTTGCTCTAAGATTTCCATGGAGGACATGGTGACATCCTGAAGACAAGAAGTGTCTTTACCCAGGCAGGGCGGTGCACGCCTATGATGCCAGCACTCTGGCAGGCTGAGGCAGGAGAATCTCAACTTCAAGGCCAGCCTGGGGAGCTTAGCCATTGAACAAGAATTTCACCATAAAATATACAAAAAGGGCTGGGGATGCAGCTTCCCATGAAGGCCCCAGTAGAAAACATTAATTTTTTTTTTTTTTTTTTTTTTTTTTTTCAAAAAAATTGGGAAGTACATTTACCACACCACAGGTAGAAAATCTTTTCTGGGGCTGGGGAAATAGCTCGGTGGCATAAGCGCCTGCCTTGCAAGTGCGAGATCATGAGTTCAATCCCCGGTACTGCAAAAAAAAAAAAAAAGAAAAGAAAATTTGAAAATCTTTTCTGGTGGGTGGTGTGACCTCCAGGAAGCAGAAACCTTGTAGATGTCTCAGGTCCCAGGTGACATGCGGATGTTTCATCAGGAGAACACACACAGGTTCTGGGACCCTCATAAGAAGGATTCTGGCCACTGCGGCCGGCCGGGGTTCCCGAAAATCAAAGTCAACAGGAAGCGGGCACTGAAGGTATGACCCAGAGGGACCAGGAAGCAAAATCACCCTTGACAATTGCCCCAGAGGGCTGAAGAGAAACTTGCATTTTCTTAAAAAGAAAAAATATTGCTGGGTGTGGTGGTGCACGCCTGTCACCCCAGCACTCTGAGACGCTGAGGCAGGAGGATCTCCAGGAGTTCAAGGCCAGCCTGGGCTACATAGTGAGATCTTGTCTCAAAAAGAAAAACAAAATCAAATACTAAAGCAAAAAGGAAGGAAATGGGGTGAAAGCAGACAACTCCAAAGCTTCCCCCAAAATCAAAAACAGAGTAGGTGGGGGTGGGGGAAAAAGTGCATGTCTGTGATCATGAGCACCTGGGAGGCTGAGGCAGGAGGATTGGGACCAGGCTGAACTATGCAGGGAGACCCTGTGTCAGGAATGTAAAAGAAGAAAAAAAGACGAAAGGAAATGGAAGAGGAGAAAGAAATGGAAGCAAGGGATGGAGAGAGGGAGGAAGGGAAGGAAGGAGGAAGGAAAGAAGAACCTCACTGGTTTTCCAGTGAGTTGAGTGACTTCTTGGTTGATTCCTTTCCGGGCACTAGAAGAAGGTGTCCTGTGTTTTTCTGTTCTTGTCACAAGGTGACAGTGATGAACAGGAAAGAGCATTTGTTTTCTTAAGTTTTTTCGGTGGGAAGGACAGGGTCTCCCTTTGTACCCCAGGTTGGCCTTGAACTCCTGGAGATCCTCCTGCCTCAGCCTCCCATGTGGGTGTTGGGATAGGACATTCTTAAACTCCATCTGCTCCGTCCCCAGCCCTTCTTCTATTTTTTTTTTTTTTTGTTGTTGTTGTTTTGAAACTGCTAAATGCCCCAAGCTGGGCTCCAACTGAGATCCTCCTGCCTCAGCCTTCCCAGGGGGTGCAATTGGCAACATGCACCACCACGCCCCGGTTATCTAAGTTTTTTTTTTTAATGTTTGCTTGATTTGTCTTGTTTCCACTCTGCAGTTCACACTGGCCTTGAATTCACCATGGGGCCCACCTCGCGGCAACCCTGCTGCCTCAGCCTTCTATGTGTGAGCTGACTGTGTGCTCCAGTACACATACCCATTAAGATATCTCCCCATGAGAGCTGTTCTTATGACTCCAAGCGTAAAGAAACAGTCATTCCCGGCAGGAGGTCTAATTACACCTGACATGCAAAGGACCCGAGCGCGCACAGGAGGTCATTCAGTCAATCAACTGAAAAACAGATTTCTGCAGGGTTTTTTCTTTCAGTGCTGGGGATGCAATCCAGAGCCTCAGCCCTGACTGCACTATTATTATTATCATTATTATTGTTGTTGTTGTTATTTTGAGACAATGCCTGTTATTTTGACCACAATGGTGGCCCACGCCTGTCATGCCAGCACTCCAGGAAGCTGAGGCAGGAGGATCTCAACCTGGAGCTCAGCCGGGACAACTTAGCAACAATGTATTTCGCAGAACAGTTTTTGTTTTTTCTTTGAACTGCTGAGACAGGGTCTCGCTAGGTAGTCCAAATATGTCACCCAGGCTGGCCTGGAACGACTGGCGGTCCTTCTGTCTCAGCCTCCCAGAGAGCTGGCGTGGCAGTTGTCCACCACTGCGCCCTGCTGTTTATAGCCGGTTCCGGTGGGGCGCATTTCCTCTGCTGCTGAGTTCTGAAGCATTTCTCCGCGCCTCCAGGACAGACAGACGGCCGCTTCCCGCAGCGAGGTCCTGCGAAACGCACGCGTGTGAGCCTCCCGCCAGGCTGAGGCAGGAGGGTCACTGTGATCTGCAGGCCAGCCTGAGCTACGCGGTAAGATGCTCTCTACAAACCGCACAACCGCGCCGGACCCCGCGCCTTTCTCAGAGCTGATCCGCGGGGAGGCGAGGCTTGGTGGAGCCTCGCGCTGGTTGTGTTCGGGCAGGCGGGTCCTTTCCGCGTTGAGTCCAGAGCTTCGGGATCCTCCTGCCTCAGCCTCCCAGAGCGCTGCTTTGCCAGGCCCGACAAGCCGGACTGCCTGCCTCACAGGGGTCCCGGTCTCTGAGAAACCTTCCAGGAAGCTGGCAGCGCCTGGCCCGCTTTGTGTTCACACCGTGACCCTCAGCCCGAAGGGAGCGAGGGCCCCGAGACTGCCGTCCGGGTCCCCAACCTGCCCGAGGCCGCAGCGCCCTCAAATCAGCATGAATCCCAGGAGCAGCGGAGGTGCAGAGTAGGAAGAATTGGGTGAGAGAAGGGAAGCTTCTGCGTGAGGTGGGCAGAAGGGCCCCGGAGAGTGGGCTCCCCACCGACCCCGCTTCTCCAGGGCGTTCACTGAACAAAGCCCCGAGGTGACGGGGGAGTGTAACCAAGCAGTAAGGTGACAAACGTAGTCGCTTGGGAAACAGTGCTCCAATGGCGAATCGTACAGCAGACCTGAAGCACCAGGATGTAGCTCAGCGGCGCAGCTCCTTCCTGGCAAGTGTAAGGTCCTCAGTTCGAGTCCCGGTACCCCCCTCAAGAAGCTGGGTGCGAGGTGGGACAAAACTAGGGTAATATTGATTAAATATACGGATCAGTGCCTTTTCCTGTCGTTTTTCTGTTTTGCTTTTGGGGTACTGGGACTCGAACTCAGGACCTTGCACTTGCCGGGCAGGTGCTGTGCCGCTGAGCTCTATCCGCGGCCAGTTCCTTTTCTTGAAGCCTGCCCTTCGGCGATTTCCCCCAGACACAGCCGTCTTCTGCACTGAACTCTGCAGGGCCCAGCCCTGTCCGACTGCCTACAGCATTTCTAGGTAACTTAGCCCTCTGTCATACCAGCACTCAGGAGGCCGAGACAGGAGGATTCCAAGATCCCTCACGCGGGTCATTCCGTGAGACCCCGTTTCCAAATAAAAAGTGAAAAAAGGCCAAAAGTGTCCAGCCTGGAGCTCAGCACGGAGGCCCTGGGTTCGACTCCCCCACCTCCAGTACCTGGAATAAAATAACGGCTCTGCACGTCATTCGGCTGGAGTGTGGCTTTTATCCGTTCCCGTGAAACACGCTTATCTGGAAATCATTCTAGGTTCCCAGGGCGCTGCAGAGAAACATGCCGGGCGGTCCCTTGCCTCCCTCCCTTTCAGAAACCCGAAATCTTAACATCATTGTATGAACAACAAAACCAGGAAATTGAGGTTTTTGTGTACTCCCGCCCCGGCACTGGGGATTGAACCCAAAGCCTCAGCGAGGAGCTCCGTCCACAGCCCCACCCAATTCCCCCGGGTTTTTGTTTTGTTTTGTTTTTTCTTAATTTTCAGGCAGGAGCTTCCTAAGTCACTACATTCCCCAGGCTGGGCGCGAACTGGGCGATCCTCCTGCCTCGGCCTCCGCAACCCTGGGGTTCTAACGGTAGTTAGCGTTGGCCTCTGCCTCCTAGGTGCCTGGCAACCCCTTCCTGGGTGCCTGGCAACCCCTTCCTGGGCATTGTCGGGGGCCTGCCTTCCGGGCTGCGCTGGGCTCCGTTTCCAGGGTCAATTTGCAACCTTACCTTGCTGTGAACCGCGTCCCGGCTGCACCCGCCTCCCACCCGCGGGCCCAGGCGGAGCCGAAAGGAGACCGCACCCAAGAGTCCAGGCAGGGAGGCGGAACCTCTCTAGGTGTCTTTCTAGAGTGTGTGTGTGTGTGTGTGTGTGTGTGTGTGTGTTTGAGGCAGGGTCTTGCTATGCAGTTCAGGCTGGCGTTGAGCTCACTTTGTAGCCCAGGCTGGTCTCGGGCTCGCAAAGATCCTCCTGCCTCAGCCTCCCACCATGCCCGGCCCCAAGTGTCTTTCCCAGGCGCTCCGCGCGCAGCCCCGTGGCTTCCGCGCAGGGCGTGACTTCTCCGGTGGCCCAGTCCCCCCGCAGCCCGGGGATGGGGGCCCACAGGCGCAGGGAGCCGCGTCTTCAGCAGATCTGCAAGCAGCAGAGCAGCTCCGGGGCGCGGGCGGGGCCTGTCCTGGGCGCGCAGGGGAGTGGCCCACCGACCCCACTTCCGGGCGGAGAGGCGGGGCGCAGGCGGGGCCTCCCCAAGCGCCCCGAGTCCCCGCCTCCGTGTCCCG